GGAGGAGGAGTTCTGATATCCTCTTCTGACCCCGTGGCCACCAGGCACACCTCATCACACACACACACACACACACACACACACACACACACACACACACACACTCGCATAAATAAAGCAAATTTAAAATACTCCTCATCTGATCAAGAATAAGGTGCTAGAACATGACGCGACAGGGCAGGAATGACTTGGTGACCTGGTGACCATGTGGGAGAAAGGACCCAGAGCTTAGGGTCTGATTTCCCCCAAATTTGAGGGAATTTGGGATTGCATCTTTCAGCCTAAAGAGACCTGAAAACTATAACAGGCGGTGTTGTTTGATACCATCGACCGTGACCTGGGACTCCCAGGAACCAGATTTGGTTTCGCTGTGACCCAGCCACCTGATCCAGACGCCTTGAGCCTCTCTGTAAGTGCAGAAGGTGCTTCTCGGCCAGCGTGTGCACAGCTGGGCAGCACGGTTCACGACCTGTGAATCATTCATGCTTTCGACCTATTCTAACAAGAACTTCACCCAAAAGCCTCAATTATTAAGCAGTGGGAGTCGTCTTTGCTGCTGCTAACCAGAAGAGCCACTAAAAAGCAGGGGATTTTTTTTTTTTAAAACTGAGATGTTTTTGTTTCTTAGAGATGAACATTTATTAATGACACATAATTGCTCTCAACACAAGACACATGCTTGGGGATGGTGGCGCACACTTTTAATCCCAGCACTTGGGATGCATAGGCAGGCAGGCGGATCTCTGAACTTTAGGCCAGCCAGGTCTATACAGTGAGTTCCAGAAGAGCCAGGGCTACGCAGAGAAACCCTGTCCCGAAAAACCAAAACCAAACCAAAACTAAGCCACCCCACACCCCACACACGCAGAGGACAATAGATACCCTGACAAATTAGACAAGGAGAAAGCAAACATTGCCACCTGAACAGAGGCTTTTTAAGGCATGATGAATATATTTAATAGTGACCACAATCGTGACCTCGAACTCTGAGCTAAACAACTTCTCTTGTGTGAGCATATGCTAGGGTATCTTTTCACAGCGACAGAAAAAGAAACTAAGAAACATGTTGCTAGGAGCGAGTTGGTTGTTGTGGACTAACTTTGTCAAACTGAATCGACAACGTGTGTGTGTGTGTGTGTGTGTGCCTATGGAAGTCAGAGGCTGACATTGGTGTCTGCCTCAATCACTTTTTCCCCTTGAGGCAGGGTCCCACTTTGTATCTCTGGCTGGCCTGGAACTCACTGAGATCAATGCTCCTCTGCCTCCCAAATGCTGGGATTAAAGCCTGCCCCGCTCCACCTCACCTCATTGACTTTTCACTTTTTAGGGCTCTCACTTTGGAGCTCACTGATTGGCCAATGAGCCCCAGGGATCTTCCTGTCCTACTTCCCTAGTGCTGGGATTACAAGATTGCATTTCTCTCTCTGTCTCTCTTTCTCTCCTTCTCCCCACGTAAGCATGCGTGTGTGTATCCTTGTCTGTGCATGCAACAGCTTAGGACGGCAAACAGGAACCTTTGTAACAGTCAGACTCAAATAGTCAGGACTTGATGGGTCGCTGATAGTTTCCCTAACTTTTGTCACAATGAGCCTCATCTTTGCATAGCTTGGGTCCTGGATCCCTGACCCAAGGCGACTAGGGAATGAGGAATTGACAGACACATGGACACAGAAGAGCTTGGATGGAGAAGCCTTAGCACACCAGTAGTTAGTATGTTTATTATAAACTGTTGAATAGGGAGGTGGGGTTATTACAGATAAACAGGGAGGTGTGGTTATTACAGATAAACAGGGAGGCGGGGTTATTACATACAGATAAACAGGAAGGTGGAGTTATTACAGATAAATAGGGAGGCGGGGTTATTACAGATAAACAGGGAGGTGGGGTTATTACAGATAAACAGGGAGGCGGGGTTATTACAGATAAACAGGGAGGCGGGGTTATTACATACAGATAAACAGGGAGGTGGGGTTATTACAGATAAACAGGGAGGTGGGGTTATTACAGATAAACAGGGAGGCGGGGTTATTACAGATAAACAGGGAGGCGGGGTTATTGTTACAGCTGATCAAGGGGGCAGGTTTAGCTAATGGGTAGGGACCATCTCTGTAAGGGAGCGGTCTCCAGTCCAGAAATATCCCAGTGGGAGAAAGCTCTGTGGGGCATTTTCCAGGGGAGAAAGGTCTGTCGGGCATTGTCTGCACACACTGTCAACATTCGCACTCAGACCAGAGGAAGGCTTTGCCATCCCTGAGCCTCACCTGGGGAAGGCTCTGTCACTGTATGGGATGAGGCACTGGTCCTTGGCATGGCCAAGCCCATGTCAGACAATGCACACTCATTTAGGATCACAGGTATGCACCACAGTGTTCAGTCATTATCTTCATTTTCTTTCAGGAAATTTGCTGACCCCCACAGCGCACAGTGATAATCGAATGCTGAAGAAGCCAGCCTTGACCACACATTTAGCAGGGTTTGGTGGTAGCAGCCCATGTGCTAAGATTACAGGCATAAACCCAAAAGGAGACCTGGAGAGATGGATAAGTGGTTAAGAGCACTGGTTACTTTTGTAGAGGAACTGGTTCTGTTCCCAGTACCCACATGGTGGTTCTTGACTGTCTATAACTTCAGTTCCAGGGAATTCAATGCTCTCTTCCAGGGCACTGATTTACATGCAGGCAAATGCCCGTATGCACACAATTAAAAATAAATAAATATATTAAGACAGACAAGCTCATTTGAACCCAGCATTTAAGAAGAAGGAAACGTTGAGGCGGGTTTGGTGGTGCAAGCCTGTAATTGCAGCTACTCAGAAGGCTGAGGCAGCAGGGCTTAAAGTTCAAGAAACATAGAACTTCAGTTTTTCGGAATGAAAAGGTTATTCAGTTTTAGCGCACAGCGCACACAGCTGGCTCGACTGTCCTGTGTGCACACTTCGAAGAAGTGAGGAGGCTTGGGGAGATGGCTCGGGGGTGATGCTCCTGCTGCACAAGCGTGAGGACCCACCCCTGAGAACAAGAACCTACATCAACAGCTTCTAAGCCCCACTCCCGACTGGGGAGGTGGAGTCACAAGGGTTCCTGGGAGTTGTCCAGCTGTAAATCCTAGGGTGCTAGGTTCATTGAGAGGCTACCAAAAAATGAAGTGGAGGGCAAGCGAGACAAACACTGGACATTGACCTCTGTCTACACACACGTGTGAGCACACACAAACATCAAACATGTAAACACACATATATTCCCCCCCCCCCCCCGCCCCAGAGTTAAGAAACTGAAACCATGATCCACAGGATTGCCAACCCTCCTGGGACAACACAGAAAAATATCATTTCAAAAAGGAAAACTGTTGGGTCTGGGAATGGGCCTCAGCTGGTGGAGCACTTGCCTAGCAGGCAGGAGGCCCGGGATCCACCCTCAGCACTGCACGGTGGGATACACTAGAATCCCAGCCTCCACTCTGGAGGTGAGGTGGAGGCAAGAGGCTCGGAAGTTCAACGTCATTCTTAGGTGCGTGTGAGTGTGTGATCAGCCTGGAACAGACGACTGGGTCACACAACAAAAGTTAAAACGGGCACATTTTTGTCATGTGTGGTTTCAGATTTAGCAGGACAATGTCCAAATCAAGATGATGTTGGGAATATTATGCGCCGGACGGTGGTGGCGCACACCTGTAATCCCAGCACTCAGAGGTGGGTGGATCGCTGTGACGAGGCCAGCCTGGTCTGTTCCAGGACAGCCAGGGATACACAGAGAAATCCTGTCTGGAAAAACAAAAAACAAAAGAAGAGAGAGAGAGAGAGAGAGAGAGAGAGAGAGAGAGAGAGAGAATTATGTAACCAAGCTTTTGATGATACTGACTTTTGAGGTTTTCCACCCTAGACTGATGTCAACCTCACACATCTGCACACATACACTGAAGACAGACATGCCCAAACCCCAGCTGCTAACATCTGGGGAATCTTCAGTTCACAGAGCGCCCATCCCAGCAGGTCTCCAGTATCTTTTCCACACTTCACTAGCTAGCTTCATTTGCAGACCCGAAACCTTAGTTAATGCCTGTTGAGTTTCTTTTTTTTCTTTGAGTTGGCTGTTCCTCCCCACATTTCTATAAATAGAAAAGAGAGAGAGGGAGTGAGCACGGTTTCGTTACTAAGGTAAAGACACTCGAGCTACACACACTTGATCCTTGAACATGAAATCTAAGAGGTTGTAACGATCACAGTTTCAATCCTATAAAAGGCAGAGGAGACCCATCGGGTTTGTTTGTCTCTTGTTCTACAACTCTTCCCCCCTCTTGACTTTAAATCTAAATTGGTGAGTAGCCGGTGGGCCTCCCAGACCCCCAGGTCTCTTTCCCTACACGCACTGTATTAGATGTGTAGATTTTCCATTCAGAAACTTGCCTGTCATGCGGGAGGCCTGTCTGCGGCATGGGCTTAGTCTTCCATGGGGTCTGCAGTGTTGCAATTCTCTGGCTGATGTGCGACCAAGCTGTTGTGTTTATAACATGGTGAATTGTTTAAATGTCTCGTAGCTGCCTATGCTGGTTGATGAGGTAAGTATAATCTTTACGAGAAGATTGGGCCTTAAGAAAATAACTTTTATTTGGTTTTAGATTATTTAAAGCCTGGGCCATGTCGCTCAGACTGGGTTGGAGTTCGTTACATAGCCAAGGATGCCCTTGAACTCTTGATCCTCCTGCCTCCTGAGTACTGGGGTAACAGGTGTGCACACCAAGCCCAGCCTGGTCTTTTGATTCCCCTCACATGTCAGTTTTGGAGTGAATTCAGGAGAAATCGTGGAGACAAGAGTGCTGGGGGTATTTTCTGTATCTGGGTTTGGCTTGGTATTCTGTCCTATCACTTAACAGGTGCTTATCACATTGTAGGAATCTGGAAATACCCAGTGTTGGGCGAGACACTGAGAATGCGTGTTCTTGCCCTGCCCGTCTCCCCGTCCCCATTGCTCACATCTCCTTTGTTCTGTGTGGTCAGGTGGAGAATGAGCATCACGGATGTGCTCAGTGCTGATGACATCGCGGCGGCCCTGCAGGAATGCCAAGGTGAAGGGGGACTGGAGGAGCAGGGCGTGGTGGCACTTTGGGGGCCCGGAGCAGGGTAACAAGTTCCGGGGAGCCTGGACTACGGGTGACAGCTCGTCCCAGAATAAACACACTGGGCTGTGGCTGCGGCTCAGCGGCTAGGGTGCCCGCCTGGTGTGTACAGGGGTCTGGGTTCCATTCCCAGCATGGCAAAGACGGGTGACACACACCCGCGTTCCTCACACTAGGGAAATGGAGGCAGGAGGACCAAGAGTTCGAGATCATTCCTGGCTACACAGCCTGGACTACGTGAACCCTTGTCTCAAAAACAGTCAAACAAGCAAAAACCATAATAGAGTTGAAGGGAGGCATGAGGCAGGCATGGATTCCCACCTCCAGCGAAGCAGCGAGGATTAAAATGTGACCTTTGTTGAAAGAGTCGCTGAATCCGTCAGTGGAACTGCTGCAGGTTAGACCACTAACAGGGCAGGAATTCTGAGACCTGAGCATGGGGTTATGTTTACATAAGAGGAGAGGCATTTACTCAAGGAGGGGGAGAAAACGTCAGTGGGGGGATGGGAACGTAACTCAGTGGCAGAGTGCTTGCTTTGCAAGCACAAGGCCCTGAGTTCAATTTGCAGTACTGAAGAAAAAAAAAAACACCTCAGTAGAAAGGATGGGGTTATAGTTCAATACTAAGGGTCAGCCTGAGCTATATAGTGGGTTCCAGGCTAGCCACAAACAAACAAGAGCAAGTCAATGTACTTATTCCCTTGAGCCTGTTTGAATCCACTGTTTTCCACCAATCACAGCCGTGGTACTGTGGACTTGGGTGCACTTTGCTGGGTGAGGGGAGATAGGTGAAGGCACAGAGCAGAGTCAGGAGAGGTGGGCAAAACCAAGTGGAGAGGGCAACCCGGGGCACGGGGGAGAAGGTGACATCACAGACCACCCAGTCTTGGCTCTCTGAGTCTAAGGAAAGTCAAGCACCCACGTAGCTCGAGCGACGATAGAAAAGTACTTCAGCAGCCTGTGCTTCTGCCTCCCAGGCACAAACACAGAGTGGGAGCCACCTAGAGTCGGGATAACCTCTCTGTTCTTTAGACCCAGACACTTTCGAACCACAGAAGTTCTTCCAGACATCAGGCCTCTCTAAGATGTCTGCCAGCCAAGTGAAGGATGTCTTCCGGTTCATAGACAATGACCAGAGTGGATACTTGGACGAAGATGAACTCAAGTAAGCTGGGTACTGAGTGATTCAACATGGCTGAAAGGGGCTGGGGTGCAAGGTACCCTGTGTGCGCGCCACTTCCTCCACGGCCAGCTCTGGCACTGGATATTCGTCTGCGGTCCATAAAGAGTGTCAACTGGTTACACTTTTACCCACTTGGGGCACTAAATGTAGCACTGGAGACAAGGTACAATGAGTGATTAGTTCAAGGGATCTCCTATGGCAAATGGAACTTAGCAAAGCTCTTAAAAAAATAGACAGCTGGCGTTGGTTTCTATGGCAAAGGAAAATACTCTGCCGCCCAGGCTTTGACTGATGTTTGTGGCTGTCAGACACATGGACTCAAAGGAAGGAAGAGAGGGCAAAGAAAGGGGAAGGGGACAGGGAAGAAAGGGAGGAGGGGAAGAGGGAGGGAGGGAGAGAGGGAGGGAGGAGCAGAGAGCACAAGGTCTTTCAGGAACTCGCCACCAGCCTTTTGGGGGGCGGGGATGCTGTAGGTTTTTCCTCCAGAAGTTCCAGAGCGATGCCAGAGAGCTGACTGAGTCAGAGACCAAGTCCTTGATGGCCGCGGCGGACAACGACGGAGACGGGAAGATTGGGGCCGACGGTAGGTCTGCGCCTGAATGCAGTGTAAGACACGCAGAGGCGGTACCCAAGGGGGCTTCTGGGATAAACCCCTTTCCTGAGTTCTGGTGAATTCAGTCTTCTCATCTGCAGAATGGGATCGAGCAAGCATGCCGATTGTTCATAAACATGTCGTATCACTGGGGGATATAGCTCACGGGTTTGACATGTGCTTAGCATGTTTGAATTTGATCCCCAGCACTGCCCTCCCCCCAGGGCACAGATTCTGGGATAGGGATGTTGAGATGGCTCAGTGAAAAAAAGTCTCTTGCTGCCAAGTCTGGCGACCTGAATTCAATTCCTAGCACCTACATGGTGGGAGGAGAGAACCAGCCTCCAAAAGTTGTCTTCTGACATCCACATGTGCACACATAATTCTGGAAGGCAAGCGCTGACACCTGTAATCCCGGCACTTTAGAGGCTGAGGTAGGAGGATTTCAGTGAGTTTGAAGCCAGCCTGGGCTACATAAGGAGCTCAAGGCCTGCCAGGATTATAGAGTGAGACTCTGCCTCAAAACACACATATACACACACACACACACACACACACACACACACACACACACACACTTCTGTGTTACATAATATAACATAAACTGTGAACTAGTCACTAACTATGAACTCAGAGAAAATGGTTCCCCTGATGAACCACTGGCCTTCCGAACTATTTTGCAAGGTGCTTTAGCCCAGCCTGAAAATAATGCAAGGGATGTCTGCCAGGGTTTAAACAAAGGCAGTTCACTGACTACCAGCGGATGTATTAAACAGAGGACAGGGACTGGGAGGAGGTTCAGGCAAAAGTGTTTGCTGCACAAGTGCTAGGACCTGAGTTCAGATCCCCATCATCAGCCATGTTGAAAGCTGGGCATGATGGCATGCGTCTGTGGTAACAGCGCCTGGTGGAGGGGGAAGCATGGAGACAGGCAGATCCTGGGGGCCTCCTCACCACCCAGCCCACCCAAATCAGTCAGCCTAGGTCTCTGTGAGAGACCCTGTCTCGGAAAATATGGGTTGAGGGCAATGATGATGTTAGCTTCTAGCTTCTACATGTACATGTACACACGTATGCATGGGCACTTACACACACACACACACACCACCACCACCACCACCACCACCACCACCACTACCAAGACCACCACCACTACCAACAACAAGACCACCACGACCACCATGGCCAGCACCACCACCATCACCATGATGACTACCACCACCATCATGACCACCACCACAACTACCACTATGACCACCACCACCACCACCACCATGAACACCACCACCATTACTACCATCACTACCACAACCACCAGCACCACCACCATGACTACCACCACCATCACCACCACCACCACGACTACCACCACCACCATGACCACCACCACCAGTACCATCACTACCACAACCACCAGCACCACCACCATGATTACCACCACCATTACCACCACTACTACCACCACCACCACCAGTACCATCACTACCACAACCACCACCACCAGTACCACCAGTACCACCAGTACCACCAGTACCACCAGTACTAGCACCACCAGCACCACCACCATGATTACCACCAGCACCAGCATCACCGGCACACCAGAGACAATAAAGAGCAAATAAGCCAGGTACTATTCATGACATCATCTACATGCAGAGCCTAGATTCAAATGTCATAAGATTGTTTCTGTTTGATTTTATGAAGCTGCGTACATTTCTGTTTACACCATGACTCAGAGGAGGAGGGTGCAGGGACATCCTGGCTGTGGCACTAATTAGAGACACTGAAAACGCTGACGAACATTTGTTTGTCTATCTGGGGCAGGGTCTCGTGTACAGCCCTAGCTGGCCTTGAACTTCATCTGGAGCTGGAGCTGACTTTGAGTTCCTGACTCTCCTGCCACCACCTCCCTGGTTCTGTACTTTGTGGGCATATGTCACACGCCCGACCTTAGGTCCTTATCGAAATATGTTATCATAATTCACCACGTGAGTTCACACAGCTTTGTGGGTCCTCGATAACACAGCTCAGACAAAGGAAGCTTGATGCATTTAAACAGCAGCAGGAAGCCCGGCTTGGTGGCACATGTGCGTAATACCAGCATTTGGAAAGCTGTGGAGTATGAGACCAGGCTATATCATGAATCCTGGGCTACCCTTGGCTAGGGAAGTAAGACCTTTTCTCAAACTTAAAATGTAATTTCCAAAAAGCCACAACCCTGAAAGATTCTGAGCGGATGGCAGTTTCAACTTCACTGTGCACCAGCCACAGTTTAGTTGTGTGAGGGCTTGAGAGACGCCGGGTGGGTAAGAAGGCCTCCTGCACAGGCATGAGGGCCTGAGATCGGATCTCAACGCCCATGTAGAAAGCTAGGCATGGCCACAGACAAACCTGTACCCCTAGTGTTGTCTGCAGTGGAGATAGGGGGACCATTGCAGCTTGCAGTCTTTGACTCTCGCTTCAGGCTCAGTGAGAGACCCTCTCTCAAGGGAAGTAGGTGGACAGAGATAGTGTGAGACACCTGCCCACCTGCCACCTTCCTCTGGTCTCTGTGGGCTCACAGCTCTACATACCATACACACCACACACACACACAGAGATACACACACATACATACACACAGACACAGACAGACACACACACACATACATATACACAGACACAGGCACACACATACAGACATAGACACACACACAGACACAGACAGACAGACAGACAGACAGACACACACACACCATTATCTCTCACAGAAAAGATGATCAAATCATCTTCCAGTAATATAAATTTTGGAGGAAGGCTAAGGTTAGGGCTCAGTGGAGGAAAATCTGTTTAAAGTTCTACTCTGTTGAATACTATGGCTACCTCCCGGGTTTATCTGAGATGAATCAGACAACACACCACATGTTTACAGTGAACAATTATACCAAATTCCTAAATGTAGTGATGGTTCATTTGTACTGTAATAAATAAAGCTTGCCTGAGGATCACTGAGGATCAGAAAGGTGAAACAGCTGCACTTCAGCCTTACAGACCAGGCAGTGGTGACACACACCTTTAATCCCAGTAGCCACACTAGCTTGCCATAGAAGCCAGGGAGTAGTGATGCACACCTTTAATCCCAGCACTAGAGAGGAATATAAAACGGGAGCAGACAGCTCTTAGTCTCATTCTGAGATTCCTGGAGGTAGGATCGCCATTTTGGACTGAGGTTGAGGTAAAAGCCAGTGGCTGGCTGGTTTGCTTTTCTGATCCTCAGGCAAGCTTTATTTATTAAAATACAAATGAAATGTCACTACACATTCCTTCATTGCTGGAGAAAGATGGCTGAGTTGAGCTCTAACCCAAGGGGCCATAGATGTGATGATATTTGTTAAATACAATTATGCATGGGACTGGGGTGATAGGTCAGCAGGCCTAAAGCATCCTCCATGCAAGTATAAGGACCAAAGTTCGGATTCCCAGGACCCATGTAAATGAAGCCTCACTTGAGAAGTGGGGAGACAGGGGATCCCTGGGTCCTTGGCAAGCTAGATTAGATGGATCGGTAAGTTCTGGGTTCAAGTGAGAGACCCTACCTCAATACGTATGGTGGAAAGCAATTGAGAAGGGTTCCTGATGCCAGCCGTTGGCTTCCACCCATGTCTATACATCTGCATCCACACACATGCACACATATGCGTACATGCACACACATAGATGTTGCTGCACAGGCTTGCAACCCCACACCTGCAGTGTGAAAGCATTGTAGGGATGCTTAATGGAGGGATAAGTAGACGGGTTCAAGGATATCCTTGGCTTTACAGAAAGTTTGAGATCAGTAGTCTACATTACACACTGTCTCAAAAAATTATGTACAGCAAACTAGACATTCAGCAAGCACTGACAACATCAGTACTTCAGAGACTGAGAGGCAGGAGGCTAGTCAATTTGAGGCCAGCTGGAGCTGCCCAGAGAGACCTTACCTAAAAAAGAACACAGAAGGCCAGATGGGATGTTGCAAACTCCCCTGATGCTCACTAGTGTTCACGGTGTCTTCAGGCTTGTCCTGAATTGGACAGTGCTTCTCTGAGAAATTGGTTCATCTTTTTTTCCCTCTCTTCAGAACTCTCCAGGGGACAGCACCCCTGCCACACACCGAGTCTGTTCTCTCTTCTTCCATTCTAGAATTCCAGGAAATGGTGCATTCTTAAAGCCCAAGTCTGTGGAAGAAAGAGTGGAAGGGGCATTCTGCCAGAAGATCTCCAAAGCCCCAGGACCAGGAAGCTCCCCAACCGATCCTGAACTAAGTTCCTGAGTCCCCCTCCCCGAAGCGCTTCTGCAATGTGCTCCTTGCTTGAGGAAATGCAATGGTCTGTGGCTCTTTGTTCTTTGGTGGTGGTGGGTAGGTCCCGATGACTTCTGTAAGCTCCCCTGGCAGGCAATGCCTTTCAAAAAAATCACCCAATAAAATCAGTTCTCATCATTGGCTGATGTGTGGGTGTATAGTCACTTGTCTCTGTGCTGTGACAAAATGTTTGACAAATGCGACTTAAGGAAGGACAGGTTTACTGTGGCTCACAGTTGGAAGGGGCAGTCTATCGTGGTGGCAGGACAAGGAGGCAGCTGGTCACATCGCCTTTGGTCGGGAAGCAGGAAGGGATGAACGCTGGTGCCCGGCTCGCTTTCTCCTTTTCCTTTGGTCTGGGACCCCAGTCCAGGGGATGGGACCACCCACATTCATGGTGGATCTTCTCACTTTAATTAACTTAACCTAGATAATTTCTCAGATATGTGCCCCGAGCTTTGTTTCCTTGGTGCTTTTAGATTCTGCCAAGCTGAAAATACTAATCACAAGAGGTTTCTGTCTTATTTTGCGACAGGATTTTAAAATTTAGCCCTGGCTGGCTTGGAGCTCCCTATGAGAGACCATGCTGGCCTTAACCTCACAAAAAAGACCCACCTGCCTCTACTTCCTCAGAGGTAAAAGAGATTAAAGATGTGCACCACCATACCCAGGTACAATGAGTGGTTTTGCTCTTGTTTTTCCTTTTTTTCCTCCATAAAAGTAGTGGGACAAAAGCAAGCAGGGACCAAGGGTTTTTCCAAAGATTTCAGGCGCCCTTAAACTCTGGATTGTACATGAGGGGACAGGCAAATTGTTTTTGTTTGCTTGTTTTGCTTTGAAATCTGGTTTTTAAAATAAATCTTTTTTTTTTTGGTTGTTTTGAGACTGTGTTTCTTTGTGTAGCCCTGGCCGTCCTGGAACCAGCTCAGAGATCTGGCCTTGAACTCAGAGATCAACCTGTCTCTGATGAGTTTAAAAGCTTGCACCACCACCCAGCACTGGAATTTGGTTTTAAAAACACAGAAGTGTTGCAAATAAATATCCCTGTCCTGCTGGAATTTTATTCTCAGCCATCCAGCTAACTCTGAAGTTAATATTTTCCAGAGACATTTTAGCCAGCATAAAGCCACTCTTACAGGAGCCGGACACAGGGGGGCATGTCTGTAATCCCAGTGCTCAGGAGATGGAACTGGTAGGATCTGAAGTTCAAGACCAGCACTGGCTGTATATGGAGTTGGAGCCAGCTAGGGCTACAGCCAGTAAAGACACTTGCCATCAAGCCTGATGACCCGAGTTCGATCTGCAGGACACACACGGTGCAAGGAGAAAGAGGACCCCTGAGAGTTCTCCTCTGACCTCGGCAACCATGCCGTGGCACAGGGCCCCTCCCGGCAATAAATAAATGTTAATTTAAAGATCACTCTTATGCATTTGTTTTCTGCTGGTGGGTATAGGATTTATGGTGGTACAGTATTTGTGTTTTAATAAATAAAGCTTGCCTGAAGATCAGAATGCAAAGCAGCCCCACTAGTCAGCCATACAGGCCGTGGTGGTGGTGCACAACTTTAATCCCAGCACTAGAGAGGAATAGAAGATGAGAGGTCTCAGGCTCAGCCTGAGGATTCATGGAGGCAGGATAACCCATTTTGGTCTAAGGTAGAGGTAAGGGCCAGTGGCTGGCTGCTTTGCTTCTCTGATCTTCAGTTTGAATCCCAATATCTGTCTCTGGGTTTTTATTATTCGTGCTACAGAGATTGCTATAAGAGAGATTTAAATACGAGCAAACGAGAGAAGGCAGAACAGTTGAACCGGGGTATAAAGCTTAGTTGGAGTGCTTGCCGTTGCAGTTTAACATAACATTTGGAAGTTGGCTTGGCTTTTTCCTCCCAGAGAAACAAGCGTTCAGATTGGTTTGTAATAGCATAACCCTTCCCCCACCCTTACCCACTTCTCAGCCACCATTTTCCTGGCTCCTAAGAGGCAACACTCTGTGAGGCTAGCCTCAAGGGCCCTGTGTAGAGGGCCGCAACCACACTTTCCACCATAGATGGCGCTGCACCG